TGTGTGTGTGTGTGTGTGTGTGTGTGTGTGTGTGTGTGTGTGTGTGTAGCCTGCTGTTTGTCAGGAGGAGGTGCCAGCCCAGCCTGGTGGCTGCTCCCCCCGCATGTCCCACACATCGCCCACAGCCTGCTCCCCAAAAGTAAGTGGCTGTCCTGCAGACTCTGCCTCCCACCCCTGATCATCACTGTACTTTTTTTTTTTTTTAATGCACAAATTGGTGTTCCTCCCACATTTAGTTCCTTTGTCACTCTAGCCTTCGGCCTGGCATTGGTGTCGCACCTGCCTGGCTTCTTGAAGGTGTCTCTGTGCATTGTTCTCAGGTGGTCTTGTGGCTGTCTTTCAGAAAATGGTTATTTTATATGATTTGTCATGGAATTTGTTCTAATAAATCATTCTTCCACGTGGCAGCACACCAGTGTCTGCCGCCTTGGCTCTCTGGGGACGATGTTGGGTGGCACAGGGAGTCTGTGGGCTCAAAGGCAAGCAGGCGTGGTGGCGTACGCCTTCCATCCAAGAACTGGGAGGCAGGGATCTCTTGAGTTTGAAGCCAACCAGGGCTACAAAGTGAGACCTGAGAACTTAGGTTTCTTGTTTTGTTTTAAAGAATCACTGAAGTTCAGACTTTACCACCAGGTGGCAGCATTAACAAGGAAGCAGCGGGTGTTTGCTTTTGTTTCAATTAATGTTTTACCTGCTTTTTTTTTTTTTTTAATTTATTTTATTTGCATTGGTGTTTGCCTGCATGTGTCTGTGTGAGGGTGTCAGATCTCTGGAATTGGAATTAGAGACAGGTGCCCTGTTGGTGGTGGGGAGTGAACTCAGGGCTCTGGGAGAGCTGAAGTGCTCCTAACCCCTGAGCCATCTCTCCAGCCCCTTGCCTGCACTGTGTGCACTCCATGCGGGCCTAGTGCCGGTGGCAAGTAGAGGGAGGCCATTGGATCACCTGGAACCGAAATTACAGATGTTGGTTAGCTGCCACATGGGTGCTGGGAATAAAATCTGGTCCTCTGCAAAAGCACCAGTGCTCCTAACCACTGCGCCATTGCTCCAGCCCCAGTTCCCCACTTCATAACAGATCAGAAAGCAGAGACCAGGGCAGAGCCCAGGCTGGGCTATTGCCCGCAAAGGCCTGCCCCTGCTGCCCTGCTTCTGCCAGCCAGGCCCCGCCTCCTAAGCTGCCACAGCCTACCCAGACAGTCTTACCCTGTGAAGGAACATTCCAGATTCAAGCCATAAGAGGGTGTTATGGGGATGTCAGGTTGATAACCCTCTTGCCTTCAACTGGGAGGAAAAAAAAATACACAAAACAGCAGCTTTCAGATAGGAGACAACAGGCAAAACAGGACTGTGATCCCCTTAAAGGGACAAGTGAGCCGGTAGCGGCCCCGCACTGCTGCTGAGAAGACAGATCATCATCAGAGGAGGACGAAGCAGCTGGGACCTGTGGAGCCAGACATGCTCGAACAAGCTCGGCTGCACACGTTGGCCATGACCTGCACTTGCGGGTGAAACCGCAGGGGGCTATGGAAGCAACCGCTGAGCAGGGAAGGAGGCTGCATGTCCCTTGAAACTGGCCAGGCCTGAGACTTTATGTCATCAGCATTTAGAGGAGAGCTCAGACACACAGGACATGGGGCGGGGGGGGGGGGGGGGGGG